TCAGGGCTACTTCAGCCCCAACTGCTCCATTTATAACATCGCTACTCCCATGTGTAAGACTCATGGAGAACACAGAAGAAGGGATGGAAAGATTGTTAGAGTCAGAGGAACAGGATATGTCTATGACAGGGCATTTCCTAAACATATCAGGGAAGCTGCACCCATAAAGTCTCAACAACATGAGCGCCTAAACAAGGCCTGAACAAAGACTACACCAATGTCCAGGTAAGCATGGAAGAGGAAACTCTCTTAGACAAAGATCTAAAGCAACACACCCTCTGTTTTTGTTTGTTTGTTTTTGGTTTGGTTTGGTTGTTTTCTTAACTAAATGAATTCTTGTATATAACCACAAAGCAAGGTTAATGCAGAAGCTTTCCTTCAAAGGTCACAAAAATACTCTCATTTACTAAAGTCACTGAAACAATGCAAAGTGAAATCGTGAAGAATTTTGAGATTATATAAATTGGGTAATTCATTTTAATTATTAAAAGTGCAATTGGACCTCTGACATGGTTTATGTCTTCAATGATGTTAGAATTAAAATTGTTTATTAAAAGTGTTTTACAGGCAATTCAGGACTGGGCCTCTGGTTCCAATATTAATCTGCACTCTTGTAGTTTATTTGAAGTCATGTTTCTTGGTTTTATTTTTCTAAAAATGCATCCTGTGGAGAAATTGAAATCTTTAGAGAATGTGCAATATCCTAGTACATGACCACAGAGGAAGTTATGCTGATTCCAATGAGGGCAGACCATCCTGGTATGACTAGGAGAGGAAGTCGAATGATGACTTACATACCATTTCAATTAGAGAAAGAAAAAAAGAAGAAGAAGAAGAAGAAGAAGAAAAAGAAAAGAAAACAAGTGGGTCGGTTTATCCACAGGCACGATTCTTTTAGGAAATTCCACTAAAAGAAAACAGGTCTTCCTGAAATGAATGGGAAAGCCTCACACTCTGGGCATGTAATTAGGTCTGTTTGTGTTCACCAGGCCCTGGCTCTCTCAAGGATCCGTGTGGTTTCATTGTACTGAAGCCAGATCATGTTGCCCTTTCACCCTCAATCCAATATAACTGCTGACAGAGGGAGCCTTACGCATGTCTCCAGCATTCCGTGGCCAGAGGAGCGTGTTAATAGGCAGAGCTAGCTAGCAATGTAAAGAAAGACTGCTTAAGGCTCAGAATCTCTGTGTGTTTTATACATTGCTTGCATCCTTTTTCATTTCATAGTATTGATAGGAAGCAGTCAGTATTACCTTTCCATCACACATAAGGGTCAAAGTCAAGGAGAAACATCATGTTAAAGCTGATGGATTTTTGTTGAAATTATACAGCAGTCCAGTATTAGTCAAGGATATGAACAATGTGGAAAACAGTCTTCATCAAATTAAAAAAAAATGTGGGCTAGTCATCCATCTATTCTAATGAATGGCTAAAAGAGTAAAGTAACTAGATAGCCCACTAAATGTTAAGGAATGATTACCCTAAGAGCAGCGGAAATTTGTTTTCTAACCACAAATATACACAGAAAAAGTTAACTTAATTTCTAAATTATTAGAGGCTGAAATTGGAATTGAAGTTTAAAACTGTAACATATTGAGAGAATTTATGAAGCACAAGGGGAAACATGACTTTTAGCACATGTCAAACTCATGCTGTACATGTCTGAAATCAGAAGTTATTTTAATCACTAGAAAATACGGTTTGGTCTAAAACACAGCTATTGTAGACTAATTTGTAAAAACATGCATAGATTTCATATATTTTACTTTATTATGACAAAATATGATTTCTTTCAATTCTTTCTTGTTGAAATTGGACTGGAAATTTTATTAGTAGTATTATAAAAGTGTGTTTTTTTAAAAAAAGAAGTATTAAAGTTAGTGAGGCTACACTTAAAAACTCAAGATATTTCAAGATCCAATTCTAGATAGGTATATTTTCTTTTTTTCTTTAATATGAGCAAAAATTCAGTCACCTAAAATTGATTCATTAGTTTATTCAAATTAGTTGGCAAAATGTAGTGTAGATACGTACCCAAGCTAATTCAGTAGCCCTGAAGACCCTTGTAGAAAATGTCTTATAAGCCAATACACTATATCTGGCAATAATGATGATTCTGGAGTCTATGCTGGTGCCTCAAAAGTCATTCATTTGGTGCAAAAGTATGTAAACATTATGTTTCCAATTTTTTTCTGTCATGGTATCTGATTTCTCAAAGCCTTTGTTTCACGGTCCCCTGGTCCTGTCATGAACACGCCGGCATCCCCACACTCACAGCAATCTGGTTTCTGCACCCCATCTGATGGAACCTTTCTGTTAATTTGGAAAAAAACCAGTTCTCAGGTTTAGTGCTGAGAGACTGATAACTGAATTCTCAAATGAGCCACACATTCTCAGAGATGAAGTGCGGAACAGTGGGCAATGGCTGTTTTCCCACAGTGTAAATTCTTCAGACTCAGCTGTCAGCATGTATGCCTGTGTGCAGCATGAAAGCAGCTTTAGCTTGATGACTTTTTTCCTTAAGGCCATAAAAATGAAATGGATACTACACTCTCTTCTGTGTTATTCCATCTACTAATCAGGTTTTGTTTCTCATGGACAGTGAAAGCCTGTATGAGTCCGAAGGTTCTTAGTAGATCAAAGACGCTTTGTTCCTGAATAAAAAAAAAAAAACAAACATTTTCTCTCCCACACAAATATTTCCATTTGAGAACAGACCGGATAGTGATTTTTAAACAGGGGGTTTCCCTACTAATTTAGCCCCACATCATGCTAGCTTTAATAACTGGTGGTGGATAGTCTACAGTTCTCTCTCTCTCTCTCTCTCTCTTTCTCGAGCTTCAAGCATGCCCTTTTCATCAAGTCATGATCTCCTGTGTTCCTCACTGGGACTTCCAACTTCTCAGAGCAAGGCAGGAATCTCTGTAATACCTGTACTGCTAGTGTGTGTGGGGGTCTGACTGTATGTCCAACACTCTTTCAGTACTATGAGGTATGTACTCAGTCATGAATATCTTCATAATTATCTGTAATTAAAACAACAATCAGCAACGGAAGCTAAATTAGGAAGAAGCCTGTGAGAGGAAAAGGCGAGAGTGACAGGGAAGTGACTGCTTCAAAAATGAGCTCATGTATAGTGGAAAATACTGCACAGAAAATCCTAAATGGCTCTGGATGAAAAACTACAGAAAATCAGAAGTAGACTGTTAAAGGTGAGTTAAAGTCAGTTGACAGTGGTGAAAATCTTGAGGATAAAAAGTTCCAGGCAGACAATGAACTTAAGCATACACAAAAGAAGCATTTTGCATGGTGCAACGGATCAAAGTTTCAGGCAGAGAAAGACATTTTGGCGAAGAGAAATATAAGAGGCTGGGAGAGATGACTCAAGGGGTAAAAGTGCTTTTTGTGGTTTCTGTAAGTGTGATGGTCTGAGTTTGAGTTTCAGCCCCACATGGGGGATGATGAAAACCAACCCTCTCAACTTTTCTGACTTCACAAAGCACATGTGCTGTGGGATGTGCACACTCACACACACAGGCATACATACACACATGCCCACACACATGTAAGCACTGAACGAGACAAGAACAACAAAATAACTGTAAGCTGGGTAATTTAGGAAAGGTAGCGATGCGATTTTAAAAAGAGGCAGGAAAATCACATGACTGAGATCGGGCCTGCATCTTTGTTGCTAACACACGAGCAATAACAGTACAATGAGAAGCATCGCCACAGGAGGAAAGAGATGTGGCGTGAAGTGCCTGGAGGTCTGTTTTATGCTCTGAATGATCACTTTGAAGTAAAGTCCTGATTTTAAAAGAATGATCCCACTCCACTGAAGTTCCACCGAGATCTAGAGATAGATGCGATTTTTTAAAAGGTCAAATGGCTGATAAAAGTAAGGGCATGGGTTATGTGCTCTCAGCAGAAGTGCTGCAGATGTTTCGATGTTGGTGCACAGTCCTGTTTGGAACATAGTTACATTCATTCAGGAAGCCTGGGGAACCAAGTAAAACTCCAAAGATGAGCTACTAGCAACCAGCAACATTATTTCATGTGATTGAGAAAGCAGAAATACAAGTTTAGATTAAGTCACAAAAGCCACTGTCACAATATCCTAGAGACCATTATAGAAATATTTGATTATTGTGTGGCAACTCAATAAGCAAAACATAATAATCAAACCAGGTAGGTTTGCATGTGTGAGTGCGCAAGCAAGCATGCACACAGATGCACACACCCACATCTGGCTAGATGCACACACATATGTAAATATAATCTATTTTTTTTCTTATTTAAGCTTGTACATGCTGAATGTTTAACATAGTGTTAAAATGATTTAAATACTCTAAAAAAGTTAGAGCAGTTTTCAAAAAGCATCCATTCATCAAGTAGTTAGACTAGTGCTTGACAAGAGGAAACAGATCTCATTACAAATCTACAAAGGATGGTGTCTGTGTAGACTTTCATTTCCTCACCTATAAAATGAGATAGTTTTGTGTTTGTTTCCATGCTTGTTTTTGTTTCTTGTTTTTTTTGTTGTTGTTGTTGTTTTTTGTTTTTGAGAGATGTAGGAGTCATTTGAAAATTTGAAAGCACAAAAATGTAATGTACTTAGCAGGGAAAAACTATTTTTATGTCAAGGCTTGGTATGCTGCTCTCCAAGCAATAACCAGGGATATGGAGGAAAATGAACAATATCCGTGAGGTTTGTAGTGGTATCTTTTTCCGTTGCCTCCCTTCCGCAGCTTCAGGCCAGATCCTTACTTCCCATAGTTGACTACTGAGAAACTTCAAACTTGGCACAAAACTAATTATTTCCTCAGTTTTTAATCTTCTTTTCTCTTCTCCCAATTTTCTCACACCCATGATTGGGAGGTCACTCCCATTATCTTAACAGCTGACTAAATCTAGAGTAGCTGTGTGCTCCATAAAAGGAAATCCTTCCAGAGACAATAGGTGATATGTTCTGTGCCTGTGTTCTCACACGTTCACCTTACCATTGAGCCACCGGGAGTCATGCTGCTCGGTCCTGATAGGGTGATGATGGCCTAGTGTTCTGAAGATAGCAAAGTCTCGTCCCATGAAATCCGCAGCAGTTCCAGAGTATAACTCGCCATCTGCATGGTGACAAAAGGAAGCCAGGCACGTGTTACTCAATCAAAGGGAGAGAAGAAAAGCAAAGCAGCAGTAACATAATTTTCATGTTACAACAAATGCTGTTTCCATTATCAGGCAGAGTTATCTGTATTTCACCCTTTGGTCCTGAAAGGAAGGTTCTATTGAGTGATCATTTACATGTTATTCACTGAGTCACAAGTTAGGAAAGCAGAATAAAGTCTGGTTCACTGAACATAGCTAAATGTGAAATTTTATGATCTTCCCATTGGTGAACTTAACAAAACGCAAGCATTAGAAACTACATTCATCACATAGTTCACTTTCACATGGGTAAGGGTCTTATGGCTCAAATAACCATATTTTGCATGGTGAGATATCTGATAAAGTCACGCTTATAACTTACTTTAATGTTAATTAAATGTTTGATGTACTATTTTCCAGTAGGATCTGATAAACAAGATTTTACAGTAAAAAATAATATTCTTCTTGCCGTTTTAAATTTAATTTTTACATGTGCATTGGTGTGTGTGTGTGTGTTTGCCTGTGAAGAGGTACACATTTGTATAAGTGTGTGGAGGTCCAATATTGACCTCATGGGATGTTCTCCATTGCTCTCCCTTTGTCCTTACTGAGGAAGGTTCTCCTGAACGTGGGATTTACCAATTACAGAGAGTTTAGCTAGGTAACTCTCTTGAGTTCTCCCAACTCTGCTCATTGAGTGCTGGGATTTAAGGCAAGTTTTGCAGCCGGAAAGCCCAGATTGAACTCACTGAGCTCATGATTCCATTTCTTTCGATGTTTTGCTACTGGCTTCACATGGACACTCAGTCACAGTTTAATAATGGAAGAATCATTACCAGGAGATAAAAAAAAAAAAAAAGCCCAGATGGGAAGAGAAGGACAAGAAAGAGAAATTACGTCAGCTGACTACCATTCTGTGCTGGTCAGGCAGCCGGCCTCTGCCTTAATATTTTCAAATAATCTCATTCAGTTCTGTCAATGTCCCTAGGAGAGAAATAATTTTGCCCCTGATTTTCAGTTCAGTAAGGCCAAGGTTATTCAGCTTAATGGTTAGAGACCCAGTGTGAAGGTTCAAATCGAAGCCTGTTTAATTCTAAGGCTATCAGGCTAAAGCATACCAAATTCAGTTAAATAAAGCTTTAACATTTTATTATTATTTATGTTTTCTCTCAATGAGACAGAAAGTATCCCATGTTCATTTTTTTTTCTTGATAACATATAATTGCCCAACTACTTAGGGTGAATTGCTGCATGTATAAAGCAAAACAACTAAAGTGATTAAATATGTTTCTACAAACAACACATAAGTATTTAAAATATTAATGATATTTTTTTGATTATTGGGATGGGCTAATGTTCTCATAATCATCAACTTGAAAATAAACACAAAGTAAAGAGATCATAAAAGGTAAGTTAAATTTGAATATCACTTATCCATATAATTTTATATTAAAGAAATGTAAAATTATATGTCAGTTTTAAAGTATAAATGCTTTGGGGATATTTAATTAATATCATTGCTTACATGTTATTCTTCAGTTATAAATGCAATTTTCATTTACAAGAGCTTTGCAACAAACTAGATAGTCTCACTGGTCTAAACAAATTAACTACTTCAGTTGAACTTTGCCTTCTTGCAGTTTTGTGTATTATTTGGTTGGTTGGTTTTGCTTCTTGAGACACAGCCTCACTATGAAACACTGGCTGGCCTTGAACTCATTTTGCAGATCACGCTGGGCTCAAAATCATGGATATTCACCTGCCTTTGTCTCAAAATTCCCTGGATTAAAGTTGTGTGCCACCATGTCTAGTTTTCTGAAGTGTGTCATGGACTTTGAAGAGTCTCCAGAACAGTTAGAGAATAGGCAGAAGAAAAGACAATTACGTTAAAGGTGCCTGTCTTGTTTGGCAAATGAACTTTAAAATTGATTACTTGCTTTAGATTGCTGTGACTCAAGATGAACAGATTATTTTTGGACAGTAATTTATCACAGGTTAGTAGTTAAAGTAATAATGCTGTTGGCAGTACTTCCAAGTCATCCTACCTATGGTATCTTTGGAATTACAAAGAATCTGTACTTTCTTTACTTCATTAAGTGCTAAGTGCAAATCAGATTTATTCTCATAACCTATGATACAGACAGAAACACAGCACTATGGAGAAGGTACTCATTCATTTTAAGGGCTTCTTGGAATATTTAAATGCTTATTGATTCCTTATCATTTACTAACATTTAAGCATTTTAATATTTTTATTAAAGTTAATAACTTAAACTTTAACAAGGTGTTGGTAAAAATATATCACAACTTTTGACATCAGTGAGAACAAGAGGATGGAGGTTAAAATTGTGTGTGAACGGTAGGAGAGATGGCTCAACACTTAAAGGTTAAGCTCACAGCCAAAATATCAAAGTTGTGTGTGACAGTTTCTTGAAATGGCCCTACCTCAAACCCTGTGAGGTTAAGACCTGTGTCTTGAAATTTACGAGCATAAAATTATTTTTTGAGCTTCCCTGCAGAGGAAGCATGTCATGTGATAAAAATAAAAACAGGTGAAAATAAAACTGCAAGCAGATGAGCTAACGAGTATCTATTAATGTCAGTTAATGACACCCAACAGGAGCCTGCTTCAGACATGGAGAAGAATATAATGCCATGATCATGCTCTCTTCTTGTTTTTGTTTTTTCTTTTTTGTTGTTGTTGTTTTGTTTGTTTTTCAGGACAGGGTTTCTCTCTGTAGCCTTGGCTGTCCTGGAACTCACTCTATAGACCTGGCAGGCTTCAAACTCAGATATTCACCTGCCTCTGCCTCCCAAGTGCTGAGATTAAAGGCATGTGTCACCACTGCCTGACTCAGCTAACTCTTAGGAGGACCTCCACTATCAGTGTATTGGGGGAGGAGCATAGGAGGAGAAGAGGAGGGAGAGTAGGATTGGGAGGGGTCAAGGGAGGACACTACAGCTGGGATACAAAGTGAATAAATTATAATAATAAAAAAATAAAAAAGAATTACTGAAATACAGAATTACTTGCTTTGGTTATGTAAAAACTACTCAGAAGGGAATTGAGAAGCAAAATTACAACACGTCTTTGTCTATAGAAGGGTTTGGTTCTCTGACACATTTGCTGGGTGATGTGATTAGTTCTCTTGTTCACTGTCATAGAAGGATGAAAAACTCAGCATCAGTAAAAGACTGAGGAGAGGCTGATTGTTTTTCCTATTTTTACAACAGATAGGAAGATAGTTTGGACAAAGTTGAAGAACTCAATTTTCTTTACTGAGAAAATAATTAAATTTAAAAATTGACTTTTGAACAATTGGAAGGTTGAGGTTTAGGTATCAGCTGCCCACAGTCATGGAAAATTGCCTTTCAGCCAAACATTACTTTCTGCACAAGACAGGGTTAGCTTTTTGAGCTGGATGATATCAGATAATTATGAGGCCTTTCAGGGCATGGTCTCTTCTTGTTCATGCTCATTGTCAGTAGCTGTTTTTTGCTTTAGGGCTTAGATACAATTCCCTGCTGAGAGTTCTAAAAGGATTCTTATCATGGGTAATGGTTACATAGAAGATATAATATCTTTGTTATTTTGGCTGATAGTTTAGGTGGCAAAATGCCCCACTCTTACATTTTTAGTTGTTAAGCAGAAATATAATAACAACACTGTGTCTGTGCCAGTTAACGCATTTGAATATTTCCAGCATGCACTACAGTTAGTTCATAGTCTGTTGCTGTCTCAAATGATCTAGGTTCTTTGTACTTTACATGATATACAGTACCTTCATGGGCTTAGGTAAGTATAACAGTGACAACAAAATTCTACTAACAATAGTTTTGACATTTCTAGGCAATGTATGATATAATCAAATTATATGTTGATTCTTGACCGCATTGTTTATATGCACTTTTTGATACATGTTATTGTAAATATGAAGTAATATATTTGTATATATTACATACATAATACATATTTCTGTTTTGTGTCTCATTACTGTTGATACATACCCTTGAATGCCCCATGTTCAATAAGCCACTAGCAAAAGTAAAGATGGAATGTGTCCTATTTTGTTAAGTTGATAGTAGAGTAATATACTCAAAAATACGGACACTGTCTACCCAGCAAGGTCTTAAAGCATCTGTATGAAGAAATATCACATAGGAAGGTTGGTGGCTCAAAAATAATACATGAGATGATGATACACAGTGCTGACAGATGTAAATAAACTATCTCGAATGTGCCAAAGACCAAGACGAGTATTTGAGTACATGCCCATTTTGTCTTAACTGTAACCTTTTAAAACTGTGTCTAAGAAAGGCAAAATTTCTTGGGGTGAATGAAAACAGCTTTGTGGCCTCCACATCCAGGACATCTGAGTTCCCTGAGAAACGTGTATTAAAAACAAAAGTTCACATGTACTCTAGAATTTCTGTTCACAGCTCAAAATGAAGTAACAATGTGGCTTAGATCAGCTAATATCTTGGATTACAATTCCTCAGAAGGGTGTGGTGAGGAGAAACTGAAGAAGGAAAAGCAAATTTCCTGACAAAATTGTAGCATTTCTGGCACAGGTGAGTAGTATGACATGAATGTGAGCAAATATCAAACAAACCTAAAGACCAGGCTATTATGCTGTTAACACCTTCGGTAAATTCTCCTCACAGAGGAGTGGGTAATAAGAACCAGAAGAAGAAAGGAGGTTTATCTCTCTGCTTTTCTGTTCCCAACCCGCACTGCAAGAATGAGAGCCAGGGTGTAGTGGTAGGATTTAGGGACTGTTTCCCACCTCTGTTGTTACTGAGTGCTTTCTCTGTAGCAGCACCTGTATGAAGGCTTTGTTATATAGGTCGTTCTTTTACGGCTGACACTTTTCTGCAATGATGTGTCTGCATGGCATGAAATTTATAAGGCACCAACTGTGCTTCCCAGTTCCTCATAGGTAGCTATCAGTAGTTTATGTTTGTTTCCACTTCGCTG